TATATCGTCAAATAGAACTGCCCGGTAAACCGTAGGCAGAGAGGGAGAAGAGGACAACAAACGAGGGGCTGTGACAAACTGTTTCGTCGGAGTTTCACCGACTGTCCCTACATAGTAGCAGCCCTTGTTTTGTGTGTGTGTGTGTGTGTGTGTGTTTTATAGATATGTATATACTATGAAACTCCAACGAAACAGTTTGTCACAGCCCCTCGTTTGTTGTCCTCTTCTCCCTCTCTGCCTACGGTTTACCGGGCAGCTCTGTTTGACTATATATATTGTTATATAGAATTATATTGCATTTCAACAGCTGATTGGTACAAATATGATGTGTCATAGCTTCGATGGCTTTTTTTTTTTTTCTTAACCATAGAGAAATATAATAAAGATGTTTTTTTTTCCTTTCTAAAAGAGTACGACCAGATATCATAAGTAGACGTTCTTATTTCGGTGATTCTGGGAATACAGGAACATGTACAGCCATCTGATCTCCATGGAAGTGTGTGTTAAAACCAGTACATAGTACATAATTCATTTTCCTTCAACGAATATAGGTTTGGGAAAAGAAAGGGAAAAAAAAAAAGAGGTTGAAAAGCATGTATACCTAGGCTATGTAGAGTAGGTGAACGATTCAGGAAAACTGGATGTCTTTTTTTTTCACTTCTTTTAGTATTGCAATGAACCCAGATCGTGGAGACAGTCATCAACAATGCAAGCCCGGAATGTCAACCAGCTGATAGTCAAAATCGTATCCAGACAGAATGAGATGAGATAATCATACACAGACGAAGAAAGAGAGGAGGGAGATTAGACAAAGGAGAGGAGATATATACAAGGCCCACTCCTACTTCGGGCTCCCTCCTCGATCACCACCTCAATAACCAATAGTCTGAACGAGTATCTGAAGTAACCTCAATGTGCCACGTGGCACGTCTAATTAGTCCCTCATCAGCGCTGGAGCAATGTCGACATGAAGACAATCAGGTCAGTATCCACGATCTCTCTCCACAGTCCTGATCTCCTCCCTATTGACGATGAATAAGAACAGCAGTGTCGGTCGCGTGGCCCAGCCACATCAGCAGATATAACGTGTGGCAGCGGCCACATCAGCAGCAACGCGTGGCAGCTGCCACGTCAGCATGCCAAGAAGACAGGTGCGAGCCAGCCACCATGCCGGACCAGCAGCGCGTCGCCATAAACACAATGCTGGCACAAAGCCAGCGCTCAACCAGCATCACGACGTTGAGCCAGAGTCGTCGTCAACGCGTGAAGACAGCATTGGCGTAAGACAGAATGAATGTCAAAGCCAGGAAGTCAGCGCTTATGTAGCATTGACGCCGGGTCTGGACCCCGGATGCTGCATCCCTCAACCGTCCAGATCTCAATGCAAACGAGGGCTGAGATTGTTCTTGAAACCAAATTCCCTCCGGCCTGGATGCTGTCTGGGTACCTGCGCACAACAAGTGAGTGTATCCAACCAAGGGCCTGGGTGCGGTAGGTACCTTTGACTCTACAGTTGACTTTGACCCTTGAATTTCCTGTGTGCAGCGTTCGGTCACACAGCCATATGCGACAGACTCAGGCCTGGGCGTGTCTTGGTCACACAGCCCAGCGCAGACCAACTCAGGTCTGCGTTGCCTGGGGCTGAGTTCTATGCCCCAGGCTACTTCTGAACAGGGTTATTACAGTATAAAGAAATAAACCATACAATAGGGTGTTCTGATTGAATAATATATATCGTCAAACAGAGCTGCCTACGGTTTGAGAGGGAGAAGAGGACAACAAACCAGGGGCTGTGACAAACTGTTTCGTCGGAGTTTCATACATATGTGTGTATATATATATATATATATCGTCAAATAGAACTGCCCGGTAAACCGTAGGCAGAGAGGGAGAAGAGGACAACAAACGAGGGGCTGTGACAAACTGTTTCGTCNTATATCGTCAAATAGAACTGCCCGGTAAACCGTAGGCAGAGAGGGAGAAGAGGACAACAAACGAGGGGCTGTGACAAACTGTTTCGTCGGAGTTTAATATATATATATCGTCATATATATATAAATATCGTCACACTGTGAATCCGAGCGCAAAGGCGGAAAAAGACAAAACAAAAAAAAAGTAAGCAAGGAAAGCTCCGCCTGTTCATCACCTCTTACGTACAAGGCCAGCCACGTGGATGACAGGTTGAGCATATGTTTTTATACATATATATCGTCACAGACAGAACTACCCGGTAAACCGTAGGCAGAGAGAGAGAAGAGGACAACAAACGAGGGGCTGTGACAAACTGTTTCGTCGGAGTTTCACCGACTCATCAGGAGGCTATATATATGTAATCAGTGAGGGGATTCTGCAGACTGTTGAGGGTTCAGCCTCCTGATGCGTCGGTGAAACTCTGACGAAACAGTTTGTCACAGCCCCTCGTTTGTTGTCCTCTTCTCTCTCTCTGCCTACGGTTTACCGGGCAGTTTTATTTGTGACAATATATATATATATATATATATATATATATATATATATATATATATATATATTAACAGGGGGAGTTGAAAGTAAGAAGATAAAAAATGAATTGATATCTTTTTTGTTTCCTTTTTTTTTCTTTTTTTTTTCTCGCTTTTGCGCTCTGATAACTTTGTGACAATATATACATACATATATCGTCAAACAGAACTGCCAACATGCATATATACTAGTACTAATCCCAGGTCAAAGATTCGGCTGAATGGTACATGCATGCATGTTTATTAGACTATCACTGAATCAAACAGCTGATCAGTTCTGAATCCTGACCTTCAATCCTGACCGTCAATCCCGACCGTCAGTCAGGATTCGAACTGATCGCCTGTTTGATTCTTCCGTCAGCCAGGATTGAGAACTGATCAGCTGTGTGATTCAGTGATAGTCTAATAAACACGCACGCATTGTACCATTCAGCCACATACTTATTTGGCCTGGGTTTAATAAGTACAATGACTAATACCATTCTTAAAAGAAAGACGGCCTTTTCCTCGATTTAATCGTGCACACACACACACACACACCTCTAGCGCACGCGGAGCCATGCCGCCATGCGTGACAGCGATCCCGGTCCGCTTATTTCCCAGATCAACCCCAATTGATCGACGGACAGGGAGCCGCTTCTCGACTCGCCACGCATTCATCATCTCCTGGTCTCGGAAGCTGCCACGTGTCACTTCTTCTCTCGACGCGATCGAAGATTCTTCCTGTGCTTCTCTTGCCACGTCACCCTTCCGATCTTCCTGTGCTTCTCTTGCCACGTCACCCTTCCGATCTGACCGCTTCTTGACTACCACTCGTCTCCTGACAATAACCCTCCGCTTCTTTCTCTGCGCCTTCCTCCCGCCGAAATCACCATCACCTCCATCACCTCCATCACCTCCATCCTCATCACCATCAGCATTACCATCAGCATTACAATCATCATCATCAGCAGCAGCAGCAGCAGCAGCAGCAGCATCTTCCGGACTAGCAGCAGCGAAGGTGATAGAAATCTCAGAAATCTTATCCTCAGGAGTAGGTGTCGAGACGCTAACCTGGAGTTTCCTTCTACGTAACTTCTTCCCGCCAAAATCACCATCTCCTCCATCATCATCACCTCCATCATCATCACCATCAGCATCATCATCAGCAGCAGCAGCAACAGCTGCAGCAGCATGATCTTCTGGACTAGCGGAGATGATAGAGATCTCAGAAACCTTATCTTCGGGAGTGGCTATCGAGACCCTACCAGCACCACCATCAGATCTACAAAGTCCGTCAGATCTATCGGAATCGTCAGTAGAATTGTCAGGTCTGCCAGAAATCATATTCTCCTCGGCCGTACTCGTCAGGAGGCTACCGACCCCATCATCAGATCTACTAGATCTGTCAGATACCTCAGACCTGTCAGAAGAACTTTCAGAGTGTCCACAACTATCAAATCTACCAGAGACCCTATCCTCCGCTGTACTTAAGAGGACGCTACCGACAGCGTCAGAGCTGTCAGAACTGTCAGACATGGCAGAGATCTTATCCTCCGCCGTACTTATCGGGACGCTACCAACACCGTCAGATCTACCATATCTGTCAGAAGAACTGTCAGACTTGTCAGAACTACCTGACCTGCCAGAAACCGTATCTTCTGCCGCACTTACCAGGACGCTACGAATACTATCCAATCTACCGTATCTGTCAGATTTGTCAGATTTGTCAGAATTGTCAGAATTGTCAGATTTGTCAGAACTGTCGAAATCGTTAATAACCCGGTCCGTGATAAACCCTAACCCTAATCTGTTTCCCTCTTCATCCTTCTCCTCAATGCTCGCAGATCGCAGGACATGTGTGCATGCAAATACACACATCTCCTCCTCCCTCTCCTCCTCCTCCTCATCATCATCATCATCTTCCTGCTGTCTCTGCTTGTTTTCCCCTCTGCTCGGTATTTGATCATTCTCGCTTCTCTCTCCTCCTCTTTGATCGACTCCGCTTCCTTCATCGACGACCGCTATTCCAATCGCGACAGAATCAACATCCGACGGTGCTCGAATCTTCTCCTCTTCCACGACGATGTGCGAGTTGCCTTCCCTCTCCCAAGCATTCACACCCCCAATTCTCCCCATTCTCCCAATTCCCTCCATTCTCACAATTCTCTCCATTCTTCCCTTCTCCTCCCAGACACGAGAGGGACTGTTCTGGCGCGATTTTACTCCACCAACAGCACTATTGTTGGCCGGCGGGAGATGAATATACTTGCGCCAGGCTATGGTGCTTCGCCGCATATGATGATGACTCGTTTTCCACCCACAGATTGCAGACGTACCGCCTCCCCCTCCACCTTTGCCTCCCAATCCTTGCCTCCTCATCACCTTTACGGTACTCTCATCCCCACCGGAGACCGCAGTAGCCGTCCACTGTACCCCTCCTGCGGCTACCGCCATAGCCATTCTTCTTCTTCTTCTTCTTCGTCTTCGTCTTCGTCTTCTTCTTCTTGTCTCTTTTCTTCTTCTTCTTTCGTCTTTTTGTTCTTCTCCTTCTCCTTCTTCCTTCTTGCTCTCGTTCTTCTTCTTGCTCTTCTTCTTGCTCTTCTTCTTCTTCTTGCTCTTCTTCTTCCTTGCTCCAATCCAAGGGAGGAGGAAAGAACGCACCTTATCCCGCTGCCGCTACGAACCGTTAAACTCCTTCACAGGCCAATCTTCTCCTCTTCATCACGAACCCAAATCTCCTCCCTCCTCCCTCCTCCCTTCTCCCTCTTTGCCCCCTCATCATCTCGCTGCAGCTTATCCCTTCTCCACAGTACGTTCGTTAAGCTTCCTAACCCCCTTCCTCCCTCTCTCCCTCCCTCTCCTCTCCCCTATCCCCTCCCCAAGAACCCGGGGATCGTTACTCATCACTTATCTCCCCGCTCAAGCAACGATGCGCAGAGCGCAGCAGCAGGACCAAGCAGGCGTCGCCTTTCGCCAGTAGCCGCCATCTGTTTTTTATGACTCGTGGATGTTGCTTCCTTCTTTTCCTTTTTTTTCCCCCCTTTTATTTGCAGGAACGAAGCTTTTAAGCCTTTTATTGCAAATTGGGCCCAGTGCTCGAGACGAGGTTGCCGCTTCTGTTTCCTTCCTTTTTTTTTTTTTTTTTTCAGTTTCGTATTTTGCCGCCTTGTACGTCCACTCTTCTTTTTTCTCGATTTATGCGTGTCATCCTTGCGCAGGGGCCATGCTAATCTTCTCTGTATCGTTCCAATTTTAACGGATGACCCGAGGGACACGTCCACTCTTCTTCAGTACACAGTTGCTCTGCATTCGCCACCAACAACGACAAAAGACAACAACCGGACCATTTGGCTGGAAAATAGACACGTCTAACTGTGCATGAACCGACCATGAGTCGAATTTTTTTTTTTTTTTTTTTTTTTGGGAGGGGGGGGGGTGTTGGGGGAGACCCTAAAAAAACACACCCAATGTGGCTGAATGGTAGACACATCTAATCCTGAAGAGACAGATTATGTGTGTGTGTGTGGTGTGGGGGGCAGGAGGGGGGGGAGGGGGGGAAGGGGAACCACCACCCAGCCGATGTGGCTGAATGGCTATACACAACTCCACAACGTTTCTTGTGTGTGTGTTCTCATCTTCGGCATCAAACAACGCCACAAAAAAAAAAGCATGACCAAGTGCCAGACTGTTTCGTTGGACTTTACCGACTCATCATCAGGAGGTTGAACCTTCACTTTCTGGAAGTTTCTGCCCAGGATGCATTTGACTGATTGATAAGGACTCTAACCACGGCGCCCAGATTTGACCGATAGCCCTGAGAAAAGTGGTCGACTCTACTCACTCCAACTCTGCAATTCTAGCACTCTGTGTGTGTGTGTGTGTGTGTGTGTGTGTGTGTGTGTGTGTGTGTGTGTGTGTTCTGGTTAACTCTGTGTGTGTGTT